GATTTTAATCAAATCAAGTCAGAAGGGGGGATGTGGCATAATAACAAACTGATCTACAAGCAGAGAATGTTTAAGTATCATCCCAGAAGGCTGTGCCCTACACTTTTTATTGTTGTTTATTACGGATGGATGCAAAGGGCTTTACAATTTAGTAACATTTCTGTGTGTTGTCAGTTTAAAAAATGTACTTCTTCCACTCACCCCTAGAAGACAACACAGCCAAATTATCTTTGACCAAAAGCATTTAAGATGTTTTCCAATCATTTGTGGTGTGTGACACAGAGTTTTATCATAATTTTCCAGATGAAGAAATAGAGGCACACTGAAATTAAATTATTTGCCCTAGGGTCAGAATTTAACCTAATACACTTTGCTTTCTGCTTTTGAAAGAGATTACCCAGAGGGAGAAGAAAGGTAACATATGAAGTTGCAAAAGGCTGTGCTAATTATAGGTACTCTCAAAAGGGCATTTAAGACTTTCTGATCACCAAAAGAGATGTTTTCTACTGATGGTATCTGAAGGTCTGCGAATTCTTTCAAAGCTACCTTTTACCTAAAAACTTTAAGAAAGCATTGTTGGGGGGGAATTATCCTTTTAAAGATTATATTAAAATAATGATTTGATTTGCAATCAGCTTATTTAATATGGAATAATGCCACATACTGTATTTCATTCATCAACTTCTCCATTTCTAGATGTAAATTACAGGCAAAACTATCTATACATCAAGTTAATATCCTATTTACATGATTCCACCATTCTCTCATTCTCTGTCTCTCTCCCCTCTCTCGTGCTTTGGCTACTATAGCATAACTCTAGAGCTCCATTAGATCCTGGCCCTGTGAGAGGTATGGCTGTGTTAATAGAAAGTCAAAGAAGCCTAAGAAGGAGAAATATACAAGTGACCACTTTTCTACTCTGAAATATTTAATTAGAAACTGTATTTTGTTACAGAATTCTAGATTTTTATCCACAAAAATGGCCCGTTTCTTGATATGGCTTAAAGCACAGATTATACATCCTACACACAACACACACACACACACACACACACACTTATACTAACACAGGGTCTATAGATAGATGTCTCTACTTATACATGTACAGGTGAAACTATCCATTTCAGCTCAGGAATGCTCTCTGCTCTGCCCCTAGTGACCTAGAGAGGAGATGCTATAAAATAGTCAACCTCTGAGCTGGAGACCAATAACTGAGATGTTTTAGACCCCTACCTATTCCTTTTGTGATTGTCCTGAACAGAACTTTCAATACTTTCTTTACTTGTAGGCAATATTTATTCAAATAAATGGACAGTCACTCTTTCCTGCTGCTGTTAATGTACCCCATACTAGGGAAGCATTTTTCACACGTGCCGACACCGGAAACTGACATAACATTCCATGTTTCAGAGTATCCCACCCTCCCCAGATTGTTCTGCCCATTCATAACTGGGAGCCAGAAGAGGAGCCCCGGAAAGAGGAAGGCGTCGGACCGCTGGTGGAACATATTTATGAGGTAGCTGTTGTCTCTGTTGAAGTTGTGTTCAAGCTTTATTCTTATGCTCTTTACTAATAAGCTCTTCGTAGCATTTTAAAAGATGCCAAT